TACCTAGCACCGGGATTATTACTGCTCTAAGGGTCTTAGAGCAGTAATAATCCCGCGTAAAGAACCGATGCGTTCGAACAGATGTGACTCGATGGTCCGCACGGTACGGCGACCTGAACCCTCATACGGATCGCCGAGTTAAAGGAACTGACGTAGCGATCATCTGTGTACTTCTTGCTGCTCCGTCGAATTCCGTGGATCAGTTTCGACGGCGTTGGAGTGCTCCACTGGGCGGGCGCTGAAACAAATTTAGCGGGAGGAGAAGGCCAACTTGAATTGGATCAGCAGCGCAAGACGAGCGCTCCGAAAAGGACACGTTTGAAGCACTCGGAATTCGCGAGTGGAGCAGGCCAGTAGATAGAGAAGGTGTGTCTCATCAAACTGCAAGTGTCGGAAGTGGCATGTCTGAAAATATTTGCGCTCTCACACTAAGAAAACAGTTTGCTAACTTTTTACGACATTACGAGACAGCCACATTTTCGTCCGTCTGCCACATTGAGGGAATCGCCGGGTTCTGCGACGGCTTGCTATTTTGGCCGTAACGTAGCTCGTTCGAAAGCAGTCTGGTCCAAAAGAACGTAGGATATGGGCTTACAATTGACTGATAATATAGTGCGGGTCCATACCACACGAGCGAATGAAGTTTTAACGAACAGCGGTCATTTGAGACAATCGACGTTTTAGCGAATGACTAGGGCGCCTGTCAACCCACCCGTCCTCTCCGTTCACACCGCTTCGCATCGACAGTTTTCGGCGGATGATTACAAATGTGTTAACCCACCTGGCCCACCCGTAAACGCCGCTTTTCAGCGTCTGATCGTTAGCTAAAGTGTCTTTTGATGAAACTTTGACGCTTGCTAAAACTTCGTTCGACTATCTGAGTGCGACCTGATAGCAGCAGGGTGTCTTTTTTAACGCTTGGCCTTGAGCACGTGCTCGTTGCCTTTGTCGTGCTTTGGATGCGTGCAAGCCCCAGTCTCACGAGGCACCGAGAGTTGTCGAACGTATGCGCAGAGCAAGTCGTCTGCTTCATGCGCAGGAGTTGCGGTGATGTCACAAAGATCCCGAGCTCAATTTGGCTCCGATTGAAGGATAGTGCGTAGACCTCAAAGCAAGCTGTCTTGAAGTCTACCCACTATCCTTCATTGAGAACCAATCGGAGCTCGACGTTCTGACGTCACCACAACCCCTGCAAAAGAAGCAGACGAACCTGTGCACCGTATAAGAATCTCACGCTCGAGGCAGGACAAGGGAATCTCTTCCCTGCCGTTGCCATCTTGTTTCTGGCTCGGCTCCGAACTCGTGTGCTGCTTTTGCACATCTCTGCCCTCTCTGGCTTGCCATTTTTTGAACGGATCGTACCAGAAGGGATGAACGATTTCTTAATTTGCAAACAAAGAATTGTCGTACGATTTTATTTCACACTTTTGAGTGCAGGGGAAAGCAATATGATTTGATTTTGTTAAAATAGGTAAAGGATTTTATTTTAGTAAAATGCTGAAAAATCTGCTTGACCAGGTATTTTTTTATGTTTAAGAAGAAGTAGATAATGCTTGCATGTCAGGTATAGCTGTCCCTTTGTTTTATTTAGTGTCTATTCCTTATCAACTTTTAAGTCATGCAGTCATAGATGGTCAAGCACTCTGTATTCCATAAAAAGCCAGTGCTGCTTTCTTTACTTAAAGGTGAATATAGTGTAACAACTAATTTATGTCCTAATTATACCGTTAGCCGGGCAGTGTTCGTGTATTAGCGTTCATCTCTTATATTTATTCTGAATCATTAAACTACAGGGGATGAAGGCTACTTTTATGAGCACTGTGTGCAAGGACTGTTAAACTCACAGTTGTGTTAAAATACGTCAGAAAGTAACAGAATGGCAGTTATTCTGCAAAAGAGTGAAATGAACTCTTTATAAGAAAGTGATTTTAACACCACGTAAGAGTTGTCGTATAACCTTCAGCGGAGTTGCTACGACACTCAATAGACAATACATATAAGCCTACTTATATGTATTACTTATTAACTACGGAACCCTCACGTAAGAGTTAATGGTAACTCTCCTCGGGAGTGACATTAACACGTTATATGAGAGTCACTTTAACACTTCGCAAGGGTTGCCAAGTTCCACTAACCCAGTATTTCCTTTACTCACATTCAGCGTGCGTACAACACAACCTGTAGAACTATAGGCTATTCCTTTAATAGTGTTAATTTAATAGTGTCTCGAAGAGTAATTTCTACTTTATACAAAAGTAACCCTGCCTCCGAACGGGTGACTTTCGTTACTCTTTTTTGAAGTGTAGCGCTCACTCTAATAAAAAAGGGTGGATTTTGGGACATGCCAGTTACACTGCGAAAAGAGTTACCTTGACACTTTTCTTGATTTAGAGTGACTTTCAAACCGTGAACTTTTTCTGGGACTAAATTTGGACTGCTTTTATAGGTGTGAGCATCCTCTCTTCACAAATGTTGACGCAGTGGTTTTCATTAAATATAAGGGATTACGATGCGATTTTATAGATTTAAAACTTTGGATATATTAACGCAAAAACAAGTTATGCTCCGGTTCAGTCGTCTGCACTATTTCCACTAAGTATTATTAACCCCAGTACCGTTCATTTGCCTAAACCAACAGAGCGTATTTTAACAAACGAATCTAAATTTTATGTAAACATGAAAAACTCCAGAATGGATATTGTTTTTTCAAGTCATGTTATGTCAAATCACCTGTCTGACCCGGCAGAAAAAAGCGCACTACTGTCGTCATCGTTGAAAAAGATGTCGGATTTTGTAGATACCTCGTACAAAAGCGACCATTGAAATCTCGCTAAGATCACAGCGCTCAAATGGGAGCTAGAAGAGAAATAGCTGGTACTTTATAAACCAAAAAGGCAGACATGTTTGCTGTATTGCTGAAACTGGAGAATAGGAAGAAATCATATACGATATTTTGGGGTTTACTTTAGGGATTTTACGGCCGAGTGAAGCAATACAAATGTGAAAAATTTTTAAAACTTTGAAGGACGCCGATTTTGTAGGGGCCGCCAAAAAGATCAACGGGGTCTTAAGTTGTTTTGCATTGAGCTTTTTGTGAAATACCACAAAGTAGATCTACCCCCCCCCCCCCCCCCATTAAAAGGGAACTTGCAGAAAACGGAGGATTCCTTTCTGCAGAACGCTCTAACTAGTGTCGATACATCAACGCCGTTGCCGTCGCGGTGCTCTAATGATCTAGTAAATGACTTGCAACCATTTCATAAAAAGTGCTGCACGGTGTTTTCGTTTGACATTAAATGTTTATACCACTCGTTTGGAATCAATGTCACACTAACAAGTGCTAGCAGTTTTTTGGAAGAACGTTTGATCAGGTTACACTCTCAGTCGAGCATATCCGATTTAATGTTTCTTAGAACCTCAGTGGCATTTCTAAACTCAACAGTGATAGAGCATGACAATCATAATTTTATCCGAGAACAAGGCGTCTGTATCGGATCAGCGGTAGCCCCTGTTCTCTTTTAAATGTATCTTGGGTTTCTGAAGTATTGTTGAAAAGGTACGTAGGGCGATGTATTACCGTGTTCTACAGACGTATCTCTAACGGAATCTCTAGAGAAGTCAGTTTTTTTTTTTTTAATTAAAAATCTGCTGGAATTGCCGAAGGACGGTTACATATATTACCTGGGTTTTCAGCTCAAAACAGAACCAGCACTTTTTTGGGAGTACGGCAAACCAGCCAAAAACCAGTTCTCCTCTTCGGTAGCAGCCACTCAAAGCTTGTGAAAATAGGGTTTATTAGAAACCTAATTAGTTCAGCAGAACAAACGTCCTGTGCTCATTTAATAGGTTCACCTCACCATCGTCTTAAACCATCCAGGATTTTTTTAGGAATATATTTGAAGACAGTTGTTTTGTCTGTTACCTCCAAAAAAGGCAACTCAGAAAATTAATAAACGTTCTAATCGGATAATTGTTACCTAATTACATAAAATTTTTCACAACGGTCAAATTTGGAGGTTTTACATGCCGAACAAACGACGGACATCTGGGACGCCCCAGTGGAGGACCGCGGTTTTATTTCGACCACCTGGGGATCTTTTGGCGTACATTCAAGAACTATGTTACGAAGCGCTATCCTACAGGTTTAATATTGGCACTGCCATTTTACGGCTTATAGGCAGAGACGCATGAATTACCTCAAATCAACAAGTACAGGTTGTGTGAAGAAACACAACGGAAAAAAATGTAGATTGTATATCACAGGTCGTATAGAAGATACCCTTCGATTGGGGCGTCGGTTATATTGAACAAACTAAACGTTGCATAAATGAGCACTTAACATCACACAAAATATGTATAAAAAGAAAGACAAGCTTCACTCGGGTGTATCCAAACGTGTAACTGAAATTAACAATGCTGTGACATTTTGGGGGTCTACACATGTAGAGTTACGCGAAAAAGATGATCACAGGTTTTGATAATAAAAAGTCCGTAACAATACTAAACCACGTGAACATTGTTAGCAAGCGTTCGTTTAGCTTGGACCTTGAACTACCACGGTTTCTTGGGCATTGAAAGGCTGTGACCATCGGAATCCGTTTGTTAGTTGTGGTCTGAGAAGTTAGGTTACGTGTTCTGTGGTCTGCATTGTGACGTCGAACTTAGGTGTACCAGTGTAGAAGTTTGGAAGGAAAGAGCAGTTAGGCGAAGGTTTGGGGGTAAGAGAGGAGGTGGGTGTCGCGACGTTTTTTGTGTTATTGATGTGTGACCAAAATTGTTTTTTAAGCTGTGTAAAGAGGGTGTTCGATGTTTCCCTCTCTGGTTGAGGAGGGGGGGGGGGAGGTTACGTGCCAAACCAACAGCTGCATCTGGATTCCTCTCTGGTTTATTTTCTCTTTGTCATGGTGCCTATGTAAATTCGTTTTGGAAAATAAATATATCAGCAGCCTTTGAGGCGTTTCAGTGTATGTGTCGTCTTTACCTGCAGTCTAACAACGTACCGAAGAAGTTCTTCCAGGTAGTCGTAGACTTGGCCATTCCTGGGGGCAAAGAGGCCAACGCCAAGGATGATGTATCCAAATTTCATGACGTCCCCGGCTCTATTCACTTCCTGGAGTTCTCTCAATCTCTAGACCAAACAGCAAAAAATGAAAGACGTTTACAACCTCGTGTAACGCCGAATGAGAGCGTAGCTCTTCAGGAGAAGGACGAGTAGGTACAGAGGGAAGGGTATGCCCCTCCTCCCTCCCCTTCGTCATGTGACCTTTGTGAGGTCGCGTGACCCTCGTGACGTCACGAGTCCCGCGCGTTCCCTTCGGGGACGTTTCCCATAATGCACCATACGCTTACGCCTACGGAGACGGCGACGCGGACACCGCTCAATCCGGAAACGGGCGCCTATGAGCTGAGCTCTAAAAACGGAGACATAATAATACCCTGAGCATTCTGCCTATACACCATACCTATAGTAAGAATTGTCTTTCTATTAGAAGATGTGAAATAATCTGGGTAATACTACCGCCGTCGAAAGCCACTTGATATAACTTTTATTCTGTGGAGTGAATCCCCAATTACTGGTAGGTTAAAATAAATCTACTAATTATGAACGAATATATAATCTCGTTTCTTTACCTTTTTTTATCGCACCTGATAAATTTCAATGGCAGAAGTCAAATCTGAAAGTCATTGCCCGTCATTTTCTATTCCGTTTGGTCTTCTCCTTTTCAAAATACTTATGGGTCATCTCCCCCTCCCCGATAGTCTCATCTTGCCTTCCGCTCCTAAGGTTTCTTTCCTCTGAAATCTACCGCAGACATAATTCGTTCTCTTTTCTTTTCTCACAGGTCCGACGGGACACACGATCATTCTATAGTGCTGTAGGCTAACGAAGACCTTAATAGACAAAATTAGATTTGGCCAGCTCCTTGATGAATCTATAAATCTCTATTTGCTTCAGGCAGGACATTGTAGTGCTGATGTCTATATTTTGCGACCAGTAGTGTGCATGCAGTGTGTTAGCCTAACCTGCTCGCTACAAGACATGGAGCGTGCAACTGACTCGTGTGTGCATTAATTTCTAAGCGGGTGTACTATTACGATTAACATGACTGTGAAGACCGCACCGCGCGGCCTGTGGTACTATCAATGCCCCCTGTCGAATACTGCGGAAAGCTTAGATGCAAGGAAATTCGAGACAGATAGACCCCTGCACTCTTTGCGACGCCCTTCACTTCCGGTTCGTCCGCAGGACAGACCATGGCCTCAGCGATGGACCCCGTAAATGTGACGTCGCCGATTCAAACAAACCGCTGCCAGGGCCCTTGTTATGGTAGAATGCGTTGAAGTTGATTTCGATCCGAAAGAACGATCGTTAAAAAAATGGACGTGGAATTTAAGCGTCTTAAAATAATAGATATAAGGGAGTCTACATTTCAAACTTACAACGACATACAATTGCTGAGAATGAACTTTTTCTGAAATATTTGTGACACCTTGTTGTTATCGAGAGGTCTCGACATGCCTGCTGCAGACGACAAACCTGACGAATGCTCACTGAATGACTGAAGTATGCCGACTGCAACAGTTTGAATCGTTTGCACAATGGTGCGATTTCGATCTTATAATTATTTGGAACATGGCAGCTGGGCTTAAAGAAACTCACCAGGTTCATAAAAACGAAGTGTATTTGCGTGCAATAGATACTGTACAACATAAATCAACTCACGCAAGGAGATCTGCTCGCAAAAAGACGAGAAAAAACATCTGTTTAGAACATGAGATCAAAACAGCGTCGGCCCAATTTTTTTTATTTTGCAGTTAACATGCGTTATAATGATGGAATGATAATTTTTATTCCAACATAAGTTGTTTGAAACCACCAACTTTTTTAGGCTCAAAGCATGGGTGCGTGCTATGTACCGTACTGCTTGTAATCATCAAACTGAGAAAACATCCTGTTCGTTCTTCAGTTTAAGGTAAGAGCCGAAATAGCCAAGGAGCTCAATTATATTATCGGTTAATTTGTATTGTCGTGTGCATGACCGAGAAGGAATTGCTTCTCCTTACAACTAGAAGATTCGCGTTCACTCTTACACCGATTGTAAAAAAATAAAGAGGCCAGAATGTCCTTGCCTAGCCTGTCTCGAACATTCTAGGTTGAATTTCCGAGATGCTGAGTGTAGCGGATAAGGAGTCGAGCGTGACCTTTGCCAGCTCCCTCAAATTACCACGACGACGAGGCAGATTCACTCTCGCCCCAGCCAGCTGTCACGTCAACGCAGCCACGTACGCTGCTGCTGTTTCGACGTAATCATTCCTCTCTTTCTGACGCAAGCTCGCCGATTAAACCTGTATTTTTAGTTTACACCCGTCGAGACTTTTTCATCGGAGACATTTCTGGTGGAGGTGCAGGGTAAAGGGGAAAATGTCCCTCCTTGGTGATGCACGCGGAAATATATACCGGGTAATATTTTTTATACGAAACAAATTTATTACAAAAAAAGTGAAAGCCGTTTACAAATCCCTGTAACGCCGAATTGGAGCGCAGCTCTTGAGGAGGAGGAGTAAAGGGCACAGAGGGGAGGGTAGACCCCTCCTCCTTCTCCTCCTCCTCCCCTCATTCTTTAATAGGCACCGGGGGGGGAGGTGTCACGTGACTTCGGGGAGGGGGGTCACGTGACCTCGGGGAGGCGTGACCTAGGGGTCACGTGACCTTGGGTGTCACATGGGGGTCACCTCAAGGTCACGTGACCCCCAAAGTGACCCCCACGTGACCTCAGGGGTCACGTGACCTTGGGGGTCACGTGACCTCAGAGGGGTCACGTGACCTGGGGGTCACCTTGGGGTCACGTGACCTTGAGATGACCTTGGGAGGGGTAACGTGACCTCGGGGGTCACGTGACCTTGGGGAGGAGACCACGTGACTTCGGGGGTCACGTGACCTCAGAGGGGTCACGTGACTTGGGGGTCACGTGACCTTTGGGGTCACGTGACCTTCAAAGGGTCACGTGGGGTCATCTTGGGGTCACGTGACCTTGAGATGACCTTGGGAGGGGTCACGTGATCCCAAGATGACCCCACGTGACCCCCAAGGTCACGTGACCTTGGGGGTCACGTGGGTCACGTGACCTTGAGATGACCTTGGGAGGGGTCACGTGACCTTGGGATGACCTTGGTTACGCCGACGCCGACGCCGACGCCGCTCAAGCCGGGAACGGGCCCCTAAGAGCTGCGCTCTAAAAATCCGTAAAAGATCCACTAATGCGGTTCATGCATGTGAGTTATACAGCCAGGGGAACAGTATGTGAGTGGCGAATTTTTGCAAAAAGTCGGCTAATTAATTAAAATTCATGAATTAACTTTTTAATTATTGCAAATAGACATATGGTTTGAATTAGAAACCAACTGGGCGTCATCGAAAACAGCTAAATCAACTATTTTAAGAACGTATTTAGGAGACACCAGCTGAACAAACTAAGCTACAAATGTAAGGAGGACGAGAGAGACACATTGAACCGCTGGACTACCAGCTGCATTTAATGAAACACTTCATATTCATTGACAGGCTAGGATCCATCATACCTAGCTTGCTTCACTTCTTTATTTTTTTCCTAACTTTTAAACTAAGGCATCCTCCTCGTCTGTCTAGTTGTGGGCGGTACTTCCCCTTCGCAAGAACGTCCTCTCTTCTCTGGTTAAGGTTGCGGGCATCTTCCAGCTCCGATTCCCACAAACCCTGTCTCCGGATGAATATGACACTTCAATGCTTCGCTCTCGGCAAAAGGGTTTATTCACTCACTCATTGCCTTGGGGGGTTTCGGGATCGGGGGACGGTCATCAGCGAGGCCGGGGGAGAGTCCGCTGCCCGAGCAGCTTCTCCGAGTCCAAGCGGTGGTCGTCCACACCGCGTCATGGGGACGTCGTCGTCCAGGGTCGCTGTCCGGTCCGTTTGTCGAGTCCGCCACTCGACGTAGTGCCCGCACTCCCTGCGCCAGCGTCCAGCGCCGTCCGAGCTCGCCTCCATGACCGGTCCCTTGTGAAGTCGGCAGCCCCAAGCCCTCTTCCTTTGTCGCCGTTCCCCTCTTAAGACCTTCCCAAGTCCTTGTCCCGCCGACCGTCCAATCGGGAACCTTGCCGCGAGCCGACCCTCCGACGTCAGCGCTGGGTGAGGGGGCGCTTGCCCCGTTCCTCCCGGAGAGCTCGGACGTTCCGCGACAGGACGGCGAGAGGAAACGGGAAGGTCACGGGGAACGAAGGAGCGCCCGACAGTACGGCGGTAGGGAGCGGCAAGGTCACGGAGAGCGGAGGAGCCAGGGAGAGGGTCCCCACACCTCCCCTCCCTCAAGGCTCGGACCCCGGGGGGCTTGAGGTTGCGTGGTCCCCAGGACCCTTGGCAGGGAGCTCGTTCAGCTGAGTGTCACCGATGACGACGAGCACCCTCGATGATGATGATGGCATCAAACCAAGCAGGTCAGCGGTGAACGTCCATTCACTGCGAAGCTCGTCACCGACGGACCACGGTCCATGAACTGGTCCGGAGCACCACAGCTCACAACACGGACTGGCACTCAGGCACACACAACACGCTGGCACTTAAAGTTCGCTTCCGTCCCTAATGTAACAGACAGCGAAATGCGCAAAAACGAATAGCGGCACGCTATATCAGACAGCGAGACGAAACCAAAATCTTTCGATCGTTGGACATGCCACGAAATAAAAACAAAACTTTTCATTTCAATACTAACGGGCAGGCAATCATCAAGAACGTCACGCTACACGTTCAAGAGGTACATAAGAGGAAAACTATTCCTTAACTAAAAAGTATGAGCACTCATTGTATACTCAAATCGTACATACGCCCACTATACAACATTTGCTCCTATCAAACTCAACCGCATTCTTTTAAAGCAGTAAGCAATCTATTAGAGCGTCAGAACCGCACACCTCTGACAACAATATTAATCTCCAACACACTCGCGAAGAACGCACAAAACCTCAAAAACTAAGAATAACCTCCCGTAAAACAGAAACGGTCACAAATCCAGTCCCGTTCGCAAGGTGCGACTCGGAAGGAACACGCTGCCAACAACCCATGACGGGCACTGATGCACTCGGTGTTCACGCTACCCG